GAAGGACAACCCTGTTTAGACTATCTAGTGAACTGTGTACTGTATTGTCTCCAGCCCTGATGTAAACTGTTTACTGTATCAGAGGGGTAGTCGTGTTAGTCTGTGGGGAGGTCAGTCCCTGAATGTATGGGCGGCAGGTAACATTACCAAGGGAAGGCATTGCCTTCCCAGAGACACCCACCCCCGTGCTCCAGCTGGCCAGGAAGGCTGGGCCACAGTGCAGCTGCCTAGCTGCTCCTGGGACCAAAACTGGGGCTGGGCAGCTGCTCAGAGCTGGGGGGAGGGGATGCACTAGCAGTGAGTGCTGGACCAGCCCCCATAACGGAGTGGATTGGGGGTGCAGGACAGGGCCAGTGACCTAGGGTTGCCAGGTGTCCGGTACTGAACTGGACAGTTTGGTATTTTTGCCTCCTGTCCAGTAAAAAATTCAAGAAATACTGGACACCTAAAATGTCTAGATTTTCTGATTTTTTCCTGGCCAGGAGGCGAAAATCCCAGGTGCTTACTGCTTTCCACAGGGGAGCTGTCCAGCCTGGCACAGGAAGGCAAAAAGCCTCAAAAGCAAAGCATTTCTTAAAGAGGCCACGCTGGGGGTTTTTTTTGGGGGGGGAGGGGACGTTTGCTTAACAGCTCTCTGGGTCTGGGGGTCCTTTTTTCTTTTTCTCAACAGAATTTTTTCCCATTTTTGGGGGGGGGAGGGAGAGGAGGTTTCGGTATTTTTTGTTAAACCATCTGGCAACCCTACAGTGACAACAACAGGGGGCTGGGCTCTGGTGGGCACAAAAGGGACAGGTCTTGCCTCCCCAAACCAGGCCTTCACCTCCCCCTGACCATGCCTGAATGGTTCTCTGAGAGCAAATAGATTCCTGGGCTTTCCATCCCTTTTGCATGGAGAACTGCAAACCTATGGATAGTTCCATCTTGAAGTCGCTATTAAGGCCACATCTCCATAACCTTCAAAGAGCTGTTTTCCCTGAGCAAGGACTGAGGGTCCTGTTGAATGGTATTGGCCCCAAAATAGAGCAACCCTTTCCTGCAACAGAAATCATGTGTAGCCAAGTATTTTCACAAATAAATTCCATCATCTAGTGACACCATCTCCCCCTGAGGTGACTTCACATCTGGACTAGCACATGGCTCCTCCAAGGAAGAGAACGCAAAACCAGAGAAACAAATGAGGAATCTATTCTCATTTTACATGACAAGAAAGAATGTGTTTCCATTTCAGTTGGCTTGGAAGATTGTTTTGTTCCTTTGTTTTGTCTGTTTAGAAAGCAGGTTATTCATAAAAATACTTGAAAGAAAATGCTGTGAGATTTATTTTGAGATCAGTAAATTAAAGATCAGCCATCTAGTAATCTAACTGGTTGTCTGATTCCATGAAGTATAATCAAAAGATTAATGGCTCTGATAGATATAAGTAAGAGTAAATGGCTCTGTTTTTTGGAACTAAAAGTAGACAGAACAATAGTATGCTAAACCCAGCAAGCTCAGGAAAATTTGAAAGAAACAATATACCACATCATATGGAAAAATTAAAAGATTTGGCTGGACTTTACATCAGCTCCATTCATAATGAAATTAGCCTCTGTTCTAAGATGGGATGATGAACTCACCCATTGATTTCTGCAATTGTTTTTGTTATTGGCCTTTACCAGTCTCCAGAGTTGGATACTCTTTTAAGACACTCTGTGTCTTCTTGTAATTCAATATTGTTATTATTATTAATAATAATAATAATAATAATTAATAATAAATGATTACCTTGAGCACCTAGGAGCCCTAGCCATAGACCAGAACTCAGCTGTGCCAGGTGCATTACAAACACAGAGCAAAGTCAACTTCGATCTCCTCAGGGGCGTAGCGAGGGGCGCAGGGGGAGAACAGTTGCCTCTGGGCGCCATGCTAGGGGGGCACCAATTTAGTCTCCCTCTGCTCCCCCAGTCATCCCTGCTCCTCCTCCGCCTACTGCTGCCAGCTGGAGCCTCCTCCCCCCCTCTCCACTTCCAGCCCCACCCTCCTCTATCTCCGCCGGTGGGTTAGTGCGTGCGGGGGCCCGGCCCCAAACTGGAGGGGGCGGGGGAAGACGCCATACAACCTCCCCCTCCTCCCCCCCAGGGTCGGGTTCAGCCATGTGCCAGGTTCAGGGCCCCACTGTGCAGTGCGGGGGAGGGGAAAATTTTGCTTTTGCCCCCGGCTGCATAACACCCTGGCTACACCTCTGGGTCTCCTGCCCCAACGATACAATCTAGGTATAAGACAGATGGATATTGACAGGGGAGTATAAACAACACAAAAAAACAGTGAGAGGATCAAAAAATGGCACTATGGTTAAATAACAAGAAAAAGCATGCAGTTAGAGATGTTGAGAGCAAAGGCATATTTCGGCTTGATAGAAGCCTGCTGTGGATTTTTAGAGTCTGACTGGATGACTGGGGAACAAAATGGCAGATGAAACGCAGCATTGATAAATGCAAAATAATGCTCATTGGAAAATGTAATCCCAACCATATATCCAAAATGATGGGTTCTAAATTAGCTGTTGGTACTCAAGAGATCTTGGAATCATCATGGATAGTTCACTGAAAATGTCCACTTAATGTGCAGCAGTTGTCTAAAAACCTAACAGAATCTTAGACCCATTAGGAAAGGGCTAGATAATAAAACAGAAAATACCATGCAGCAACTATATAAATCCATTGTATGTCCACATCTTGAATATCGTGTGTAGTTCTGGCTGCCCCATCTCACTAAAGCTTTATTAGGATTGGAAAAAATTGCAGAAAAAGGCAATACAAATAAGTAGGGATATGTAACAGTTTCCATATGAGAAGAGAGTAAAGAGAAGAGGCCAGGTCTACACTACCCGCTTATTCAGGGGCGTGAGAAATCCATGCTCTTAAGCAACGTATTTATACTGACCTTAATCCTTCATGTACACAGCACTAAGCTGATGTGAGAGTGTCTCCTGCCAACATGCCTACTGTCTCTTGTGGAGATGAAGTAACTAAGCCGATGGAAGAACTCTCCCTCCTTTTAGAGCTTCTTCATCAAAGAATGACAGCAGCACAACTTAAGGATGCCAACGCTGACTGAAGCGATCCCGGGATTTTTTTTAACCAACATGAGATAATGTCATTTTCTTAAACTAGCCTATTAAAATGACTTTTTCAAGAGTCGCCGGGAGATTGCTGCTGATTCCAGGTGACTCTCAGCCAATCCTGGAGGGTTGGCAACCCTAGTACAGTTGCATTGGTGGCGGGACTGTTCACCCTACAAAAGCCATGACTCAGGGAAGAATAGGATCAAGGTTGGTACAGCCAGGAATGGTGTGCGGAAAGTGAACAGGGAAGTGCTAGTTAGCACCTCCCATAGCACAAGAAATTAACAGGCAGCAGCTTTAAAACCAACATTAACAGGCCACCCAACCATCCGGTGATGTCATAGCATAATGATGTCATGACCCGGATTCAGCAGGCTTGTGATGACGTCACGGCACAGTGATTCTGGCATATGGTGATGTCATGACCCCAGGTTGCTAGTCACACAGTGAGGTCACGGGATGGCTCAACCTAAGCAGAGCACGGGGTGATGTCATGAGCCCGTGTGACCACGGCCCGCGGTGACGTCACGCTGCAGTATCCCGCCCCCCCGCGCTGTTCGGGGGCGCGGTTGCCAAGGTGACCGGGAGCCGAGGTTGGGCCTAAGAGCCGGCGGAAACACGTCCCGCTCGCCGCCGGAAGTGCTCGTGGGGCCGCTTCCGGCTTTGTCCGCCCGCGTGG